TGCCGGACCCCTCCCCACTCTGTGTGCTCAGAACAGGGCTGAGGGGTGTCTTCTACAAACCTTGTCTTTCAGCTGAGACATCAAAGCTGTGCCCTGCCCTGCCCTGCCCAGAAAGTGTCCAGTCTCTCCAACTGCCGGGTGTAAGCTCTTCCGGGGAGGGTCCCTCAGCACACAGTTCCTCTTTGACTCCCCCCAGTACGGGTTGGCCCTCCGGGAGAGCTCTCCGGTAGCTTCAATGTAGCTCCAGAGCACTCCGGGCTCCCCTCTCCCCACCAGAAATCAGTTAGGGGCTCTTCCTACCTGAGGCCCGCAGAGATGGTATCTGCCTCCCGGAAACAGGGAGTTTACCTGGGGCCGATGCCCAGGGTGTGGTGGAGAGACGATCTGGGCGGGCTCCTCTTCCCTGCCCTCCCGATGCTGGTCGGTGGCTCCCCACACTACCAGCCCCGTCAGAGATCCGCGGGGAGAGTGGGATTGTAGGCCGGTCCACAGGCCCTGGGGTGCCCCGCATCGAGGTAAGCAAATGGCACGTCTCAGTGAGGAGCCACGCCAAGCAGAGATGGCTGGCCTGCCTGCCCTAAGCCGGCCGTCTCCGCCCCCACCCGAGAAAATGGAGGCAGCTCTGTTGTGGGTGCCTGGCCTGGTTTGGTAGGCAGGAGCCAGGCGGGCGGGGAGCAGTCAGGCTTCGCCCCGCAAGTGGGGCTGGGCTGGGGGTGACTCACAGAGCTCACAGAGTTGGGCCGGTCCAGTGCGTTCCACTCCGTTTCTGTCTACTATTATGGAAGTTGCAAGTCCCAAGATCTGCAGGGGAGCCAGCAAGCAGGAGACCAAGGAAAACTGATAGTTCTCATCTGAAGGTCGGCATGCTTGAGACCAATTCCTATGAGTCGTTGGCTAGAGGACATTAATTCCATTCCTCTCTGGAGTGTTATGTGCATTGATCAAGAACCTTTTTCCTACCAGTTTCTGCATTGTCTTCTATCTTCCAGCCTCTGAATTTCTTTGTAATCAAAATGCTGTTCAAAATGTGTTCAGTGGACCCACAGCATCTGCATTCCCTGGGAACTTTTTGGAGAAGTGCAGAGAACTTAGTCTTTTTTTTCTTTTCTTTTAATTGCTCTATCCCCATCAACTTGACACATGCCTGGTATACATGTATTTCAGCCAATGTTGAATGATCAGGTGAATAAATCAATGACTGAATTCGACAAATATTTTTTAAGTGCTCTATCTATGCTTCCAAGGAGGACCCTGCTATCTGTCTGATGGGAGGCTCTCTTATTGAATGAATAAGCAAATGTATGGATAAAAGGCAGGGGCACGACATACCAATCACAGTGCCATTTTCCTTGTGCCCAGTGGGGTTTGAGAGAATCTCCTCAGCAAGTCCCCAGAAATGGTCCCCACTACATACTTTACCTGGATCCCTTTTCTGGGTGCCTGGTGGTACTTCTTCTCCAGCTCCTGTTTCCTCTGAATAAAGAGACGGTAACCTCCTGGCTTAGAAAATAAACCCCGCTTCACATCATCTTCTAGAGGACCAAAAATCTCCTGAAGTAAAGCCATGCAATAATCTGATGATGCTTTCACGTTCTGCTTAAAAAAGTCATCTTGTTTTTCTTTCAGCTGAGCCTGTGAAGTGACCAAATAGCACGGATGTACAGTAAACCCACAAGGAGGAGGATGCTGCCCATACATAGACCACTGGGAATGCTTCTCCTGCAGAGACTGTGGCATCGAAATAGGGCCACACTCCTCACCTTACCGTAAGATCGTAGAATACCCCCAGGAAGGCTTGGTGCAGAAATGTATCTACTTCTCTATTTGATTTCCTGAAGGTCCTTTCCACTAGTTTTCCTGCTTTAGAGAATGATTCTCAGAGCATAGACACTATTTTATGCGAAACTTTGATCTTTCTAAGTCTCTAATTTCAGGAATAGTTCAGATTACAAACATCAGAGTCAGGTGGGCCTGCATTTCTGGATCCACTACATTGTGGCTTTGTGACCCTCAACCTTTGTGAACTGAGAATTCCTTGTCTGTCAACTAGGAGGAACAATACCTATCCTGATTTATTGCCAGGATTATATGAGGTGTTATAAAGAATTAATTAAGCTTGGTGAGTTTTTTAGACATGCTCATTAAGGGGTAAGTATCTTCTTTTTTTTTTCCTTTTTTTTTTTTTTTT